AGATAGGAGGGACCTCTGAAGCCATCTAGTCCAAATCCCTTTTTTTTTTTAAACACATGAGGAAACTAAGGCGCAGGGAGATTTAAATGATTTGACCAGTCACACTGTTAATAAATGTCAGAGGTAGTATTTTTACCATATCATATCCTAACATTCTAACTCTATTGTTCTTTTGTTTTTCAAAAAATCAACTTTTGGATATATTAAAAGCTCCTAAAGAAAACAGCCTCTAATCTCAGAATTTCTAGCTAGAAGGAATTTTAGGGATCATCTAGCCAAGAAGCCCCTAATCCTTTCCTAATGAGGAATTATTTTTAAATTACCCCAAGTCTTATGATCTGTCAGTATTCTATTAAAAATGTTTCGTGGAAGTGAAACACCATTTATGAGAGGCTTGTCACTGCATGTCATCAGCCAGTTGGTTAAAGTTTAGTGAGAGCAAGAAACGGTAGTAAAATGGATGCAAGGCCAGCCTTGGAGTCAGGAAGACCTCGGTTGAAGCCTTGCTTCTGGCACATGTTAGCTGTTTGATTATGGATAAGTCAAGTAACCTCTTAGTGTCCCAGGAAACTCTTTTAAAATTGTAAATTTTAGACAGTTACCATGTGCATCCTATGGAAGGAGTCTATGTACCAAATCATAAATCAGGACTAGGGGAGAAAAGGTTCTAAAAAAGAGAGATGAAAAAGTTGATAGGGTAATGAGGGAGAATAATGAAGAGGATAAAGGGAAAAGAAGAGAAGAGGTAGATAGAGAAGGCTACAAGAATGATATCTAGAGGGAAAAGGATAGTGAGAGGGAGAAGGGCAAGATGCTTGAAAGCCTCCCTCCTCTGTAGGTAAGGCAGATATGGCTCTCTGACCTTTCCAGTCCTGGTTTTGAAACCTCCACTAGGGTCTTACATGGCTTCATTATAACATGGAAGTGGCCCTGGGGCCTCTAGGGATATTCCAAGAGAATGTAAGCCTTGACAAGTCCTACCAAGCTGAAAAGGCATCAGGTATGGGCCTGCTGACCAACTTCTAGCTATGTTTAGAGAGGCTTACTCTCAGGCTGGGGTGATGAACTTTTTCTTTTCTTTCTTTTCTTTTCTTTTCTTTTCTTTTCTTTCTTTCTTTCTTTCTTTCTTTCTCTTTCTTCTTTCTTTCTTTCTTTCTTTCTTTCTTTCTTTCTTTCTTTCTTCCTTCCTTCCTTCCTTCCTTCCTTCCTTCCTTCCTTCCTTCCTTCTTTCTTTCTTTCTTTCTTTCTTTCTTTTTTACCAAAGTAATAAGCAAAGACCATCTACTAAGCCTTCAAAGAGTTGCTATCTGTATTGGTGGAGAGAGTATACATTCAAATTAAATCATGTAAAGGAATAAAGTATCTAGATGTATAAAAAAATCCTGGTTGGGTTACTAGACTATGGACTTTTGTCAGAACTCATACAAACATATCTTACCTGTGCATATGGACATGAAACTGGGCATAAATACCAAGCTGTCCACACTGTGGCAGACACACAGAAACCAAAGAGATGCTAAAGCACCCTATGATCTCCTAGGTCACCAGTTTCACTTCTTGCTTCTGAACTTGTAATGGGAAAGATTGCTCACTGGGCTTCCAGTGACCAGGACAATTGGCCCTCAGCGTGGTTGCTGAGGGGAGAGGCACACCAAGAAGTAACTTTAAAAGCTTCATTGCTGAATGAATGAATGAATGAAAAAGAATTTCAGTGTTTACCATATGCAAGGCAATGCTTCAATCTGCATTAAGACTCAATTGTTCTATTTCTGGATGTGGTTAGCATTTTCCATCATGAGTCTTTAAAAGTGAAGTTCAAATCTACCTCCAACACTTGCCACCTGTTTGAACCTGAGCAAATCACTGAGCCTCAGTTTGCTTATTTGTAAAATGTGAAGGATGTATTCACTGAGTTCTAAGATATCTCCCAGCTCTAAGACTTATGCTTTGATTACTATTCCAGAGCTAAAGGTGGAATAGGAGGTTAGAGGATATGAGCAACGGTATGTCAGGAAGATGGTTGTTAAATGGACAGAAGATGGTCAGAGAACAGCAGCATGATGGCTTTGGAGCTAGGTGACCCTGGATTGGCTCGCGACTCTAGGTGGTGTTTGAAAATGTTAAGGCAGGAAGAGGAGAAGGAGGCTCTATTTAAGGTTCAATAAATCAGGGTTTATAACTTGAGGTGACTTCAGAAGAAGGCCTTTAACATCCTGCAACCAGACAACACAATCTCTGAACTCTTCAGGCCCACACTTTAGGGTTTCCATCTCCAATACAGGAAGATACAAAAAGGTAAAGAGTTACATTAAACAAGACTTTATCTTTTATTTACCTTCACTTGATAAACCCTGAATGGCTGTGTTCCCTGCTTTTGATTGTTTTGTCTGCATATTTCCTGCTAAGAGTTTACAAAATAGCACTATTGAACAGGAAGATAAGAAGCTCACCTATTTGTTTAATAACATCAAGGGGGAAAACTGCTAGCTCATCCATTTTGTTGTTAAGTTGCTGAAAAGGATCAAAATACCAATTAACTTGCTGGCTTAGAAATCTTTGATATCCTCAGAATCACTGACATTTTGAAACTCTTGTTCATACTTGTCTAATGGCTTTTTGATTAGGAACAAAGAAGTGCCAATCTGTTTAGCATTTGACCTGTTTTCTTAAATATTTTCATGTATTCAACTACTTAGCTACTAAAAATACTTGACTAGTCACATTTCTAAGTTAAAGGGAGATTTCCCCCAGTCCCATGATCTACTTCAGAATTTTTTAAAGAGTTAAAAGACCACTTCTTTTTTAAGGGCATCCCCCATCCTGTCTTAGAATAAACTTTACATTTCAAGGTTTATTTTCTTTCTTTTTTTTGATATCAAATCAGATAACAAGTATAGCTCTTTGTGAATCTTATAGCATTATATAAATGCTAGCTATGATTATCATTATTAATTTTTCTTTTCTCAGTGGATTTAGAGAGGCTTCAAGAAACTCAGTGAGGCAACCAACCATCTGTAGAATCCATTTTCTTACTGAGAAGTAGTTGAGATTACATTTGGCATGTCATAGAATAACCATAAAGGAAAGACAAATAATAGCTGATGTGGTGTGATTAATTTTGGAGGGTTGTGCTTCAGACATCTTCATGCTAATAGCGCTTTGTTGTAAGGTTTGATAGAAAAGTCCTGTGTAAATTATATTTATAAGCAACCATGTATACATATATTCTCCCTGTGTTAACAGCAGTAAGGGGAAGGTTTTTTTGTTTGTTTGTTTTACTTTTGGTCCTCAGTGGTAATTATAGTAATAGTAATGGTAGTAGCAGTAGCAGCAGCAGCAGCAGCAGTAGGAGTAGTAATAGGTCATATTTTTTTAGGTTTATAAATCACTTTGTATACATTGTTTCACTTGACACCTACAACAATTCTCTGATATCATTCCCATTGTACATGTGAGGAAAACTAAGGCTTGGAGAGGTTAAGAGACTTGCCAAAGGTCATAGCTAGTATGGATCTGAGGTGAAATCTGAATCCAGATCTTCTCAACTCCATATATAGCACACTTTGTCAGCTGAATGTGGGAAATAACTCAGAATTCTGGAATACTAGCATTTTAATGTACCTTAATGATTATCTAATCCAATCCCCTCATTTTGTAGATCAAGAAACTGGGGACTAGAAAGGAGCAAAGACTATCTGATAAAGTAACTTCATCTAGGTAGCCCTTTCTAGGGCTCTCAGATGAAGTATGGAAGCCTTACCATGTTATAAGAGGTTTTATATCAAATCAGAACCCAGGTCTCCTATACTTTTGTCCTTTACAACTGGTCCCCACATATCTTCATCCAAAAAGCATAACCCAACATGTGTAGCTAGCCCCAAATGAACCAGATTATATATCATATCCCATCTAGCCATCCACCACAGTCATATTCTTGCTAACTTCCCTGTCATAATACACTCTAGACTTCCAGACACCATGTGCTGGGGGCTTAATCTGTTCGGTTTTGGAGCTCTCACCCTGGGGTTGAACTTGATCAATGCATGAGTATGTACAATCTCACATAACCCTACTATATCTGACCAGTCCCAGATCAACCAGTCTATACTTTACATTCTATCCAGCCGTCTACTCCAGCAACCTTATTAGCATTTGCCTTTCAGCCACCCTTATTTGCCCCTACCCCACTTTCCACCTCTTGCTCTGGGAACTAGAATTAAATCAATGCCACCATTGTTTCTGGGAAGAGTGTGTCTTATCTGTCAACTCCTCTATAGTTCCACTCATCATCTCTGCAATTTCCCAGACCAAAATCCCCTTCCTTGTTCACCATATTCCTATGGAGTTGCCTCCTCCTATTAGAACATTAGCTTTTTGAGGGCTATGACTTTCTTGTTTTTGTACTGTGGCTCTAGCCCTTCTAGATTGCTTGGTACATAGTAAGTGTTCAATAAATGCTTTTCATTCAATCGTCTACTCATTTATTGAGTGCCAGTTGTGAAGCTTAAGAACTCTAGATGAAAATTGGCCCTCTAAGAGCTTACAATGGAGTTGAGGAGATAAAAGTGCAACTATAATGTAATAGTTGAGGCAGCTAGGTGGCTCAGTGGATAAAGCACTGGGCCTGGAGTCAGGAAGACCTGAGTTCAAATCCAGCCTCAGACATTTAGTAGATGTGTGACCCTGGGCAAGTTGCTTAATTGCTGTTTGCCTTAATCTACTGGAGAAGGAAATGGCGAGCCACTCCAATATCTTTGCCAAGAAAATTCCATGGACAGTATGGTCCACAGGGTCATGAAGAGTCAAACATGACTGAATTGACAACAAAAACAGTGCAATGTTGAAGTAAGGATATGATAACTACTGAGTTATACATATAGCAACTATTGAGTTACATATAAGGGTTGAGAAAACTATACAAAAGCAGCCATTACAAAAGGATTAGGAGGACTGGAAGATAAACACATTTAAAGAAATATCATTAAAGATGCTAGTCCTACCTTTTCACAAACTCTTCAAAGAGGATGCGGTGGGAATACCCCTGTTGGCGGATACTGGCAGTTTCTAGAATTCCAGTGTATCGAAGCTGTACCAGCACTCTCTCTCTAGAGAACCTCAGGGCTTCTCGGTCATCATTGGGTTTAATACAGCGGACAAAATGAGGCTGTCCAACTACCATTTTGGAGAGCAGATCCATCAGTGAATACTATCAGGAAAAAAACTACGTATTATCTCAGATTCTAAACAAAATGACTTCCAGAAAGTTAATGCCAAACGGGATAAATTATATTTATAATAACTTACTGGCATCTTTGAAGTGAAATGGAGAAAAATATGGGAAAATGAGGATTTAGTTTATAACTAATACTTTAAAATTCTTCAGTTGTAATTATTTAGTGCTATGCATTGCTCATGCTTGGCAAAAACTCAGTTATGTTTAAACCATGATATGTCCAAGGTCTCCTACTAAACTAATCATTAGACTTATAATCCAGACCCACACTTTCATGCTGCCACACCTATTGGACTAGACTACATTGTCTCTTTAGTTGTCTTTTTTTAATGGTAAGCTTTTAAGGCAGGAGTAGATAACCTGTTTATTTTTTTTTATTTTCATTTTCATTTTAAAATTTTTTTTCCATATGCTTTTGAGTTGAAAAATTTTCTCCCTTTTTCTCCCCCCCACCCTCCCCAAGACGGCACACAATCTGACATAGGCTTTACTTTTACATACCTATTAAACATATTTTCACATTAGTGAAGTTGTAAGTAAAAATTAAAACCAATAGGAGGAACCATCAGAAAGGTGAAACAAAACTCAACAGAAGGTAAAAATAAGTGATAGCGATTCAACTTCCATAGTTCTTTCTTTGGATGTGGACAGCATTTTCCATCACAAGGCCTCTGGAGATGTCTTAGATCCTCGTAATGCTGAGAAGGGGTCAGTTTAACATTCTTAGTTATTGCATAATGTGGCTGCTATTGTGTACAAAGTCCTCTTGGTTCTGCTCACTTCACTCAGCATCAGACCATATAAGTCTTTCCAGGTTTTTCTGAAGTCAGCCTGTTCATCATTTCTTATAGCACAATAGTATTCCATTACATTCATGTACCACAACTTGCTCAGACATTCCCCAATTGATGGGCATCCTCTCAATTTCCAATTCTTTGCCACCACAAAAAGAGCTGCTATGTATATTTTTGTTCATGTGGGTCCTTTTCCCACTTGTTTGATCTCTTTGGGATGTAGCCCTAGCAGTGCTATTGCTGGATGCACATTTTTGTAGCCCTTTGGGCATAGTTCTAAATTGTTCTCCAAAATGGTTGGATCATTTCACAACTCCACCAACAATGTATTAGCGTTCCAATTTTCCTACATTCTCTCCAACATTTATCATTTTCCTGTTTTGTCATGTTGGCCAATCTGATAGGTATGATGTGGTACCTCAGAGTTGTTTTGATTTGCATTTCTCTAATCAATATTGATTTAGAGCATTTTTTCATATGACTAAAGATGGTTTTAATTTCTTCATCTGAGAACTGTCTGTTCATATCCTTTGACCATTTATCAGTTGGGGAATGGCTTCTGTTCTTATAAATTTGTCTTAATTCTCTGTATATTTTAGAAATGAGGCCTTTATCACAAAGACTGGTTGTAAATAGATAACCTGTTTAGAATTAAATGTCACCAATAAGTCCAAGGCATGACCATAGGTATAACTGCAACTGTTATTAAAATTAGGGGAAAAGGAATTTTTTTAATGAGTGGAAAGAGCCTGTAAAGAATGATAGATTTGGAGAAATGGAAGAAAGAAGGAAGGAAGGAAAGGATAGTGGGACGGAGGGAGAAAGGGAAGAAAGGAAGAAAGAAAGGAGGGAAGCAGGGAGGGTAGAGGTGAGAAGGTTGGTTGTGATGGACAGTGGATCCATCATATGGATGGAGATATGATGGACAATTGACTCAGGGTCTTCCAATGGCTTGCCCATAGGTTGTCTCTATCATAATAGAATCTTCATGTGAGGAGTGACCATAAGAACATAAAACTAATTTTTAAATAAATATCATAAACTAATGCAGCTAAAATGAGAAGAAAGGCAGGCAAATGGTGAAAAATCTTTGCCAGAAGTCAATACTGATCAAGCACAATGGGTGATCAAGCAGGGTAATACTTATGGGGTCCAAAAGTAGGTTTGACTATAGAATAAATGAAACTATTTTTTTTGTGTAGTCATAGAGAGTCTTTGAAGGCAAATTTAATTTAGGCATGCAAAGATGTAATGTATGTGGGAGCGAGTTACTGTAAGTATGACAATATCCAGAAGGTTGTGACAATAAGTGGAATTAGGAATAGCCCCCTGCACTAGGGAGAGGGTAAGGAGGACACTGGAGTACAAGAACCAAAGAGTACATGAGGAGATTGGGGAGATTGTGGGAGGGAGTAAATCTGTGAGAAGGAAATAGGAGAAGCTGGAGGAGATCACGAGATGGGGGTACCAATAACATAGACTCAAAGGTTTGTGTGTACAATCTATTTGGAGCCCTTTGCCATAGAGTAGGAAGGAGTTCAAGGATTTAACCAAGGGAACAAACAGTAAGTGGCATCTGGAAGAGTTTATCTGATACTCATCATCTTGGTCAAAGTTGACTAAACAACACAAAACTGGAACTTGTGAGAATAATCTTGGCTGTGGAGCTCATATCTCACTATATATCCCTTCATAATGTAATAAAAATATGTGTTTGCTCAAGTATAGTGTGCATGAATAGGGAATGGACAGGCAACATTGGATAGACAGAGAAGGGCAGAGTGAAGGGGACAGGGGGCAGCATTTAGAGAAGAGAAATTCCTAAATAAACCTTTTGACCCATTGTTAGTATTGGGGTAGAGCACAGGATACTTCTTCCCTTTTAGGAACACAAGAATTGCCTACCAATAAGTTGTCCAGAATACCCCTTTCCCTGAATTGTATGCAAAAATTGTGTACAGAAGATAAAAGCTGACTTGTAAGATTTCAATATAAGTGCTTTAAAAGGTTAATAAGTGAAAGGAAGGGGATTTAGGAATGGAAAATTTTAACCCGGTATATGTGAGGGATAGAGGAGAGTCAGAGAAGGAAGAAACTTAACTACAAGAGTAAAATGAAGAATAAATCAGAGATTATGAGATAGTAGATTTAGATCTGATAAGGACCTTAGAGGTCACTGAGTCCAACTGGCTCATTTTATAAATGAGAAAACAGAGGACCAGAAAGGTTAAATTTCTTGCCCAGAGGGACATAGTTGAGGTAGGATTTGAACCTAGGTCTTCCTGACACCATATCCATCATGCTGCACTGCTAGAACTAAAATAGCTAAGATCAGGAGCAAAAAGAAGGATATTTTAGGAAATTAAAATAGGTTGGACACCCACCAAAAAAAATTAGTTCAAAAAGACTTGTATGTGAGCTCTGGAATGTATTTAGCATTGCCTGGAGTTGCACTCTGCCTAAAGGGGGAATTCATCTGAATGATCATTCAGGAAAGAACCTAATCCTAAAGGACCAGAGAAGTTGAGAAAAATGGTTCTAGCTACCTTAGGGTATAGTAGAATTGGGGGGGGGCAGCGCTAAATTAAGGATTAGGTTCTTATCTAATAAAATGGCGTCAGTCAGGGTGGGGCTAAATCTGAGTACCTAACCAATCAGTAGATCTCTAGGGTTTTCTATAGATCCCTAAGAAAGTTACCCTGTCCTCACCATTTACTCTCTCAACACTGCTTCCCTCTCACCTTAGCTTCTCTTGGAGCTATCCATGGTGCTTCTCTCCATACTTGTTGACTTTATTCTTAACATACGTATTCTCCTTCATTTCCTCTCCAACCCACTCAGTATCATAGTGATTTCAAAGCATTTGGGGAATTGAAAAGGTTTTTCCTTCTCACAAAAAGTTGGTGATCCCTGCGCTTTGTAATTATACAGTGTAACTAATATACTAATATCTACTTTGAATTAGTTCACATTATAACAATGTAATCTCATACTCTATGTTAAAGAGTATATTCTGTGTTACATAGTAGTTAATTTATGACTTAGTAGGGGTACCAGATAAAAGAAAGAAGTAAGGTATGCACTCTCAAAGAATACATATACATACATACATACATATATATATATATATATATATATGTGTGTGTGTGTGTGTGTGTGTGTGTGTGTGTGTGTGTGTGTGTGTGTATGTATATATATATACACTACATATATAACCCAAAGAAGAAGGCCATTCTCTCCCATACCTTCTACCTCCAGCTTTGGATCCTGGGTAGTAGTATGAGAAATTGTCATTTAAAAAAAAAACAGATTCTCCTTTTGAGCATCCCATTCTAGAAGTTGTCCAGAAAAACATATATGTCTCTATGCAGCAGTGTGGAACATTAGATAGAGTATAATTAGGAAGATCTGTGTTTAAATCCTCTCTTGGATACTTGTTGTGTGACCAGAGAAAAGTCACTTACCCTCTCTGTGCTTGCGTCTCCTCATTCATATAATGGGGATACAACTATCTGTAATATCTACCTCATAGGGTTTTTGTGTGGCTCAAATAGAGATAATGTATGTAAAGTGCTTTGCAAACCTTAAGGTGCTATATAAATGCTAGCTGCTATTGCTGTTGTCCTACCATCATCATCAATCATCAACATCATCCTGTGGCAAAGTCTTTTTCTAACAGTGAAGGAAATAGACTTCCTTTTCACAAATTTGAAATGACCTAAAAGTTACATTCTAACAATAAAATATGATGGCCATTGCCATGTAGTGGCAACTACAGACCTAGAAGTCTCTTGGATCAGTCATATTTTGAAAATCAAAGAGTACTTCCCCAGACCATATCCAAATAGGCCTGTAGTTGGCAATATTATTTGCTTCTCTCTGTAATAGAACTTTTCATCATGAGTTTGGTCTCCATAAGTATATGTGCTCTCAGAAAGTGCATATTTGAATGTAGCCCATACTATATTTGTATAGTAAGAACGTAAATTGATGCTAAATCCCTAAGCCCTGCAAATCAGGCAGGCATAGAATGAAAAGAATCCCACCATCAGAGAAGGATGAGGAAAGAACGTAAGAAAGGATTCCTACAGAAAAAGAGTATTTTTTATTCATCTTTCATCCTGCACTCTTCCCCTTCCACTTCAAATGGCATCTTCAAAACATCACCATTCTCTGCCT